AATTTTTTGAAGATAATTCGTCATACTGAACTTTAGAAAGTGAAACAAAATATGTGGAACCAAAAATATGAATCTTAGAATAATTAAGAGTATTGTTATACAAGTATTCAAAGAAGAAAATTCCATCAATGACAGAATAAGAAATACAATTAATAAGATAAACTGAAGTAAGTGCAGCTTCTCCCTAAAATTTCTTAGAACCCAATAAGATAACAACAAGGCTCTAGTGGTTTTTCCATGATATGATGATGTTTTTTTTCAGCAACACTATTCTGACTGTGGTGTATCAGTATAAGATGATTTAAGAAGAGTATCTTGAGAAGCAAAAAACTCTTTTAAATTACTTGATTGATATTCTCCAATAAAATCAACACAAAAATATTTAATTATTTTAAAAAATTATGTTTTAATCATGGTAAAAAAATTTTAATAAATTTTAAATAAATTCGAACAATGTCAAAATAAATAAATCAAGTATACCCCAAATAATCATCAATAAAAATAACATAATAACAAGAACCCCCACAATAAGTAAACGAGATGGGCTCCACACATTAGAATGAACAAAATCAAAAGAAGATAAAAAAATTGATTCACTTTTATTGAAAAGTAAAGCAAACTGTTTTGCTAGTTTGCAACTAATACAATTATAGATGTTTCTAACTTAACATAACCTAACTTGCCACTAGATACCAAATATTGAAGTCTAGAACAAGAAACATGTCCTAACCTATAATGCCAAAGGGAAAAAGATGAAAGCTTTTGAATACTAGAAACTAATAAGGATTTTCACACAAAAAGATGATCAAATTGACCAAAAGTACGATGTGACGCATGTAGGTTTTCCAAAATAAATAATCTTTTAATTTTACGATATGTCCCAACCACTTTCCCCGTCAAGCAATCTTAAACCACATAATCACGAGAGCAAAAAATAACATCAAGACCTTGATCATATAATTGATCAACAAATAGCAAATTCATGGAAAGTGATGGAATTAAAAGAACATTGTTAAAAGAAACATTTTAAGAACATGAGACAGAGCCAATATAAGTAGCAAATATATTTGAACCATTAGCAAAATGAATAAAAGGTGAACAAATAATATGACTTAAAAAGTCAAAAATAAAATTATCAAAAGTCATATGATTAAAAGCTCCAGAATCAATGGTCCAATCCTTAAAATTAGTACCTGAAGTAGTTGACAAAGCATATGTAGAAGAATTATTACCCATAAAGTTGTTACTCATGCGAAAATAACTATCAACTAATCTCTTGAGTTTGATCTGTAATGAAGTGAAAGTTAGTATTAAAAGTTTTTGTAAATGACGTCGTAGTAGCAACTCATATCATTTTATGCAAGCCAAATTTCTTTTTCAATTCTAGGCAATTATGCTTTGCATATCCCAATTCGTGATAGTAATAACATTTAATCTTAAAAGAATCCCTTCGTTGAGATGAGTCAAATGAGTTAAAGATAAAATTTTTTGGACATGCAACCACTATTAAAATAGTATCATCCTCCCATTTGGATTGATTGAAGATGCCTTTCATAGTTTCTTCAGCCATTAATTCTGACAAAACAACATCAAAGAGAAAGGACACGATGTAGAATAGAAGCACAAATAGACTGAAAATCATCTTGAATTGTGCAATATGACTTTCTTCTCTGTATCAATAATATAATTTTGCATCAACAGTCCATTTAGGTTCCAAAAGAACTAATTGGTCCCAAATAATCGACATTTCAGAATGAAAATTAGAAACAGATTGTCCCTTTCTCTGTTTCAAAATAGCAAAATCCATCTCAAGTTTATATTTTCGAGCAAAATTAGTTTGCACATAACATATTTTCAAAAAAATTCCAAACCTCCTTAGCGGTGTCAAATTTTCCAAGCTGTATATTAATTGAAGGAGCAACAGTATTAGCAATCTAAGTAAGAATTTTGCTATTATTAATCTCCCATTATTCATATTCAGACACAAAATTTTTTAATCCATCAAGAGCTCTCGGACATTTTTTATCACTATAACATATTTCCAAAGTCCTTTTCCTTTACAAAATTTCACATCAAATAAGACCAAATGAGTTAGTTTGTTCCATCTAATTTCACTGTAATAGGTTGTGATGATTCTAAGAGAGCCATGAGAGAAAAACAATTCAAAGCCAATAAACTGATCAACCTGTAACAAGCCAATAAATTGATCAATTGGTAACAAGTAAAATAGAAAAGTCAATTATACAGGTGAACAATCCATAACCAATAAAGTATTTAGTCAACCTGGAGCTTGTGAATAAAAGTAAGAAAAAACAAAGGCAATTCCAATTTCACAAAACCCAAACTATAGTCAATGACATAAAAATCAATTCTACCCAATTTCACAAAATGACAAAACAAAAAAAATAAATACAATAGTCATTTATTAAAAAAAAAAAAGAGAAGTCAAACAATAACAGATCAAAATGACTTGAAACAAAAAGAAATAGCAGTCATCAAAAACTCTAATACTATGATGATTTGAAGAATGAAAAACAATATTATTTTTAAGGTTATAAAATACATATATATACAAATGTATAAATAAGTTTAAAGCCCACGAGATATATCTAAAAATAAAATACAATTTTATAAGTTGACTAAATATAATATACATTTTAATATAATAAACCTTTGAAGGTATAATAAAATTTATTAATATCTTATTGGCAATAATAAATTTGCGTTAAATATAATATATAATTGTTAATTTTATTAATGATTTTTAATGTATTAGGTGAAGATATTATTTTATATAATAATCTTTAAAAAAACCTAAAAACAACTATTAGCAAAATTCTAATAAAATTAATTTGGTTTTTGGCTTATGTATATATATATATAGTTTTTTGCTGATAATTTTAAGTTTCACATGTAAATGATATAACATGGAAGATTCAATAATCCAATAATTTAAGCTTTTGAATTCAAATTTTAACGTGCTTCGATAAACTTCAAGTGCCATTTAATCATCGCCCCCAAAAAATAACTACAACGTACAGCCTTTCGATAAAAGCAAGAGGAAATTTGGAATTTAAAATGAAGTGGATTTCGCTATCAACGCATTTTAAAGGCTAAAATTAGGTATGGGAGTGACTGGTTTCACATATTTTAAAGGCTGCCAACTGCACGTGGAAACACAGAACAAAATCTTTTCATTTGATCCATGAAATAACAACTACCGAACCCTTTGTCACTACTTTGCTAAACTGGGGTTGAAAAATTTTGTCTTTATATTAGACTGGAACACCAGGAGTGAACAGTTTGCTCAGCAAAAACACCTATGCGTTCACTGTGCTATCAGCTATGGCGAAACAATGAAAATCTGTTTTGAAGCACGAGTGATCAATTTTGCTTATGTATCACATAAAATCCAAGGCTTAATTTCACAAATACATTAAAAAAAAATAAAAAAGACAATGGCACATAAAGCTGTAGGAGTTCATCTTCGAATTGGAATAGACTCGCTAGACACCATGAAGGATTCGGCTGTTTGTCCCGTGAATCGAGACTTTTTGGACATTTAGTTGGCTCCAGCGCCAGCAGTAAGAGAAGGAAACAAGATAAAGCGGCTAAACAGCCCACAATCGAGAAGTTTTAAGTACTTTATAGACAAAAGCTTAGACACATTGTATATTAAATCTCAACCGCAACAAAGACCTTCGGGCATTGGTGTTCCACCCATTCAAGCAAAAAATTCTCAGATCTCCCCACTCACTTGATGTCCAAACTCCGAAGAGAGTCAATTAAGCATGATTTCAATGATTAATCAGTTGCAAGTCCATGCATTTTGACATATTTTTAAATTTGATGTGAAATCAGTATTTTTCAACACACTAAACATATGAATTTGACATGAAACCTCAACAACTTTCTTTTACTAAGCTGAAAATCTTAGACACTTGGGCTTATTTCAGTTGAAAAACTTGTGCCATTATGCCGTTCATTGACAAGATATGCTTAGAAGATATTTCCTATATGGAATCGTGCCATTCAAAGCTGGATCAACTTACCATACCCGATGTGACCCAGGATAAGTGGCAAAACACCCACCGCACTCCCATCATCATGGATCGTGTCTATACGGTCCATATTGTTATAGACTTATAGTAACAAATCGTGCCATTCAAAGCTGGATCAAGAATTTTTATTCATGGACTAACACAACAGAGCCATCATATATAGCGGGCTGGCACATCCTTGCACATCACAATTTCTTTTTTTTTTTTTCATTTGATCCCACTCTTAACATCTTTAAAATTTTCTTTTTAAATTGACTAATGAATAATAAATCCATTATTTTTATATGGTTTACTCATTGATTTTTGTGTTCCCAAATAATGATTAATGAAATGTTTATTCTCTTCTAATATAGAAAAGAAATGCATCTTTGCAAAAAAACAATAATTCATGAGGTCTATCAATTGTTATTTGTACTTGTAAAATTTATTACCTTTTGAATTAATTAGTGTCTATAAAATTTGTTTATTCACAATAAAAAAATCATATCTAATTTTGAGTGTAAATCTAACAATTCAAGAAACATAATAATAATAATAATAATAATAATAATAATAATAATATTATTATTATTATTATTATTATTATTAAACCAAACCTAACCCAACCTTTACATGTCGGGTCAAATACGGCACGACACGAGCCGCGTTGAGGGTTTAAAAATCTGAATTGTGCCAGATACGGCATATATATCATAGGTGAACTAAGCCGACATGACCCAGCCAGGACCAAACCCAATGCTGAGCCATGCCAAGCCGACCCAATCCAACCATTTTAACCACCTCCATGCCTGAGTGCTCATACCATTGTTGTACTTGCTGGCATGCAAATTTAAACGGGGCACAGATACTCTGAAACATACGACTTCAGCCAAAACAGAAACCCAGTTAATATAAGTCTTCAAGCACAACTACAAATGGTTCACAACATTAGAGTTGTAACTTTAAAAACTTTAAACAAAGTATTTGCACACCATCATACTGTTTTCTTTCCTTTTCCTCGAGGAAAACTTAGCAAGTGCAGTAATATCCAATAAAAAAAACCTACTACACACGCCGTCGCTTGTTCTTAAGGTTCTCGAAAATCTGGTTGACATCAGCTGCTGTGATAGCCTTTGAAGGATCAACTGAGCCCTAAAGATAAAAAACATATATATAAGTCTTAGGGGCAGCAAATTTGCTTTTGAAAGATACATAAATGAAGAATCTAATGATGCAGGAACATGAAAAAAAATTGCATGGCTTTCCCTAGAACCTACCTTGCAATATAGTCAGTAAAGGCAAGCAATTAAAAAGATATACAATCATTATTATAAAATATAAACAAAAACTAAACAAAAAGAAACACAATCAATAACATACCAGGAAGGAACGGAACTCGTCTGTGAAGTCTGCAATGCCATTCAGAATCTCCATTTTTTCTATATGACCAAGATTGTTAAAGAAATTTAATTCAGCACCCTCCCTTTGTTGCAACTTTTCTTCCCTCTTCTGCTTTGCATTTTTTTCATACTCTGCTATTGAATCCTCCTTGTCAAGTAGATAACTAATATGCTTCTGCTTGTACATATCCAAGCACTTGTCACATCTGCAAAGGCTATCTCTCCAGTTTTTAGAAAGAAAAAGGGGTTTACTTTCTGAAATGAATGATGCATCCATCCAGTCTACTCCAAGAATACAAGTACCACGTGAACTGGCAGTACTTCTGGACACACTTGAGCTGTCATCATTACGAGAGCTTTCTCCAATAACAAACTTCTTGTCATCAAATACAGATTCACAATCAGCATCAGCAACCAAATTATCCTTTTGGGAATAATCAGTGCACGAATAATTTTCAAGTTTCCCAGCTCCATCATCTTTAGGAGGGATGTCTTCCACCACACTTTTATCCTTGCTAGTAATAACAGGAGCAACAGGCTGCCCCCCTGCTGCCCATATGGTTTTAGGATATATAGTCAGAAAAGAACAAACCACTGAGCATGCCTTGCATATGAAATCTTCATATAGAGGCTCCCCTTCATCATCTCTAGGAATCTGTCATACAAGTATTTTCAAATCATAATCTATTTCGTAGTATCAATAACTCAAAAGAATAGTGCAAAAGCTGCTAAGTCTTTTTTTACTTCTTCCTCTTTGCTTTTGCCATATCGAAGCTCAAATTGAACTTAACTAATCAAGTAAATGTGCCAAATGAAAGGTCCTTCAAACTGATAAATGATCAGAAATAATATGTCACTGAATTTATTACTGTTTGTTTTCAAATGATTAGAACCCATATCCATCTTTAAAGGGACAAGTTCAGGCAAGAACAATGCCAGTAGCATCATGCTTAACATGAAACAGAATAACCACCAAAAGTTTCACCAGCTAAGATTCAGCAAGCCAGCACATTGCAAGTAGTCATAATTAGTATAAAAAAAACCATGGCAAACATGAACCTACTTAACAGGGCATCTCTCTCTAGATTTGCCAATGCTTTACAGCAAAACTATAACATTGTGACATTTTATAGGATATCTGGGAAAAAACTAGTTAAGAAAAAACCATGATATGAAAATGTAGGACATGCACCCAGCTTACCGACCTCATTGGGTGAGTTGATACTAATATGCTCCTCGTGAAACCAGTCCTCACACATACAGCACTGTATCATCTCTACTTGTTCCTGGACATCTGGATCAGGATAGGGGCGATTGCAGGTGCAGTATACACCTTTGAAGTTGTGATTATATGAATTCTCGATATTCTCTACATCTTTATTTGGGAAAAGCTTGCACGAGAACTCTTTGAATTTTGAATTTCCACAATCACACCTAAAATTTCTCTTGGTCCAGAGCTCCAAAACCTTGAATATATTGCAACAATGAAAATCTCTTACATTCAAGTAAGCAAATAGCAACAACAGGATAGAATATTCATACAAAGAAAAACAAGTAACATAAGCACATTGTCCTCGACAGTCTTGAGCAGTGGACCACAGATAAAATTACCAGCATAACATACATAACTTATGCCCAACACTCAAGTAAGCATGTGCAATTTCAAATGAACCTTAGCATATATTACTTGTGTTCAGTACTTAAGTAAGCACGTGAACTTTCAAATGGACATAGGAAGTAATCAAAATGAATCTTTCATTTCATATGTTCTAACCAATCAAATATTGTTAAATCAATTCATAAGTTCTTATATAACATATTTAAAATCAATAACCCATTATGATCCAAAAAAATCAAGTAATTGGATAGATGATAAGAATATGGCTTGAAGCCACTCTCAACGAGCAGAGTTAGATATTGGAATGTGGAAACAATGAGCAGTGTAAATTTTAAATGCAGTTAATGCTGATCAAGCACCAAAGAGGTCAATGTTATTCCAATTTAAAATGGGGAAGAAAAAAAAGATGCACTAGTTGGAAATATCATGACAATAGTAGGGATGTAAACAAACCAAGCATGAAAGAACACTGCTATGTTCATGATTTTTTCGTTTATTTTTAGAGTTGTTTGAGCTCGATTCATGTTCGGTAAAAAAATTTTACACTATGTTCAAGCTCAGTTCGTTTAGTTATTAGAGTATTTGAGTTTGGTTTGGGATCGGTTTGTTTAAGTTAAATGAATTCGTTCAAGTTAAACAAATTTATTCATGAGCATCAAACAAACATATTCAAAAACATAAAATAATAACTATAA